TGGGGGGAGGCAGAGACAAATGTATTTAAAAAGTAAATAAAAAAAATAAAAAATAAAAAAAATAAAATGTACTTTTGCAAATGTAATTGGGCAATTTCTCAAGAAATAAAAGCTGTAAAAAAAAACAAACAGATAAGGAAAGTAAACATTCTTGTTAAAAGCTTAAATACACAGGTAGAAATTTCTAGCGTTATTTCCCACAAACCATGAAATAGTATCAGACTTCTGTACACCTTTTGCAGTCTCTCAAAATAAGGCAATTCTACCCTCCAACTAGTCAGTTAGGTGTGGGGATTTAGGGAGAAAATGCATAAAATGTGGCTATTACCCAGATCTTATCTCCCAATAGTTATAAGGCATAAATCTAAAACTAAAGTAAACATATGAACTTAGGCCAACACTGGAGCTTAGCTGAATGGTAAGTATTAGTTTCCAGGCTACATTCTTAAACTAAAGATAGTTCTCAGGATACTTCCTGCAAGAACAATGTAGAGTTTCCCACCAGAAAGGAGTGCCAAGGTGCCACAGTCCCACAGAATCTTAGCGGAATTAATTCTGAAAATAAATAGTTGTGCTCAACCCAAGTTCTATTTCATAGATGTTAAAATAAATTTCTGCCATTTTTTTAAACCCAAGTAATGACATTTAGAAATGCTTAATAATGTTTATTTTAAAAATTTATTTAAGAGAGTGAGAGAGACTCAACACATCAATTTGTTGTTCCACTTATTTGTGCTTCTTGTATGTGCCCACTGGTTGCTTCTTATATGTGCCCTGACCAGAGATGGTACCATCATACGGCTCATTTAATTCTATCATATGGCTAAATATGGCTTCTTTTATATCACAAGCAAGCTTATACCCACGTGACATCTCATTTGTGGGAAAGAAACACATATCACAAAATTAGCAAGAAGTAATTCTGTGACCTTCATAATGGCATATACTTCATGGATGCCCCAAGCGAAGTATTAACAAAGCCACTTTAAATACAAATGCCTGTAAAAAGGAACACCAGTGCTAACTAGAGAGGCATCTTGCCAGGACACTCACTTCTTAAGCCCCATCAGCTCAAACTGCTGCTGACCCTTTCCTCTAAAAATGCTCCATAGCAGAATTACTGTAGGAAAGCAATGATGCCATTGGGGAAAATTTAAGGATTAAAAGAGACTGCAGCAAAATTTAATCTTTCCAATGATGCATAATGTACTTTAATTTTACATAGGTTTGCACTTAAGTTTTTTATAAAGCCGACTTCCACAGTGGATAGGTGAGTGGGTATTTAAAAAATAACACAAGAAAAATAATTTAAAAATAACATCAAATACATTTAAAATTGGTTAAATTATAATCCATCATTATGAATTAATCTCCAATTGATGCATACTAAGCAATAAAAATTGTCAACCAAGTCTGACTTGCAACATAGTTACTTAAAAGTAAAAACTTAATTTTTTAAAACTATGCTGCATATCTCAACATTTATAGTAAGTCCCAGCCAAATAAGTTATGACTATTATGACAAATGATTAAGCTTTACAGCTCACTCAACAGCACTGGCTTCAGTATGTGCTCCACAGGAACCAAATAAGCACCACACTGTCTATTAACTGAACAGCGAAAGAGCAATAAAAGAAGGAACTTTGAGGGGTATACTGGTGTGAATGTTAGAAAATTCTAAAGCTACACTTTTTTTGTTGTCATCTAGGAAAATGCTAATTAACAGTACCACAAATTCTACAAAGGCTGGGAATCCTTTAAACACCCCTAATCTTTAATCACTACACTATCCGAGACATCCTGGGCGCGGACCACCAAGAAGAGCCCCCGGACACGGGTCACTCACACTTCCCTCGCTCCTCACAGCCGCTGGCCGGCCCCGTGGTTCCCTGGGACAAGGGAGGGAGGCCTGAGCTGAGTCCTCCGCAGGGCCAGCAGAAGAGGCTAACAAACCTCCCCTCCGACTCCGGGACACAGCCATTGCTCCGCGGCCGGAAGTGGCCGGGCTCAGGTCCCTGAGGATAGGGGGCGGGGCCTGGAACCTCGCCAATGGGGAGGAGGCCAGTAGGCAACACGCCCCGCCCAGGGAACCGCAGCCTATGGGGGTCGCCAGGCCGGAGGGCGGAGGCCAGCAAGGAGAACCAATCACAGAGCAGGACAGGGAACACGGCCCACCCCGGCGGTAACAGCCAATCCAAGGCCAGAAGCCGGGCGACCACATTCAAATCAACTCGACCTCTCCCTCCTCCCGCCCCTCTACGAAAGAGAAAAAAGAAGGCCGCGGAAACAGAGACCCGTGCCGAGTCACAGCAGGCCCCGCCCTCCCCAGCAACCAATGCCTCAGCAGCGGACTGATAAGGACATTTCATGGTCCCAGCCAATCATAAGGGAGTGTTCCCGCAATAGCGCTACCAAGCCTCTTATACGTCAACGCTGCGAAAGCGAATCTCTGGTAGAGCGCGCAGGCGCCTCGCCGGAGGCTGCCCTTCACGGAAAGCGTGGCCTCCCCCACTCTCCTGTTCCCCGCTTGCGCAGCCTTGCAAACTATTATAAACTCCGAGTGACCTTCCAAACAAAGCCCCCCAATCTTGCCACCTGGCAGGAAAGTTTCCCCCAAAAAACAATTGCCCAGCCGGACATACTTCCTCCGTTTCTCTCCGGGACTCTGCTGGGCCGCAGACAACGACCCACGGGTCCTCTCCCCATGTTCCTCTCCAAGCCCATGGTCTTTTGTGCACGCGCCCCGCCAGATGGGAGCATTCCTCTCTTCCCCTCCCCACCGACGCCGGAACCAGGCCCTCCGCAAACGCCGTAGCCCCCTGACTCGTGTCCGCCGCGGAGAGCCGGGGGCTGGGGCGGGGGCATTAATTCCTACACGGCCATTCCGACCCTGGACTTTGAGTAACACAGATAGATTTGGGACGGATGAAAGACCGGGGGAGTGCAGGTCCTCCCAGCAGACTCCGCGCGTATTCGTCCTCGTGTTGAAAGCAGAATCCTTCCGCGCCCTGCGCCCCCTTAGTTCAAGAGTGTCTCGTCATCACTACAAAGAGCGCGGCAGCCGGATTGAGTATTCCTTCTCCTTCCTTCCTCTGTGGCCCGGCTGGTCAAAGACGCTCCAGACTCTTGTTTGGCCAGGCCGCCGCCGCGGCCCATGGTTGGAGGGGGAGCCGCGAAAGGACGGGGCCGCGTACTGTGAGTCGGACCTCCGGCATCAGCGAGACGTTTCTTCGCAGGTCGAGCAGCAGAGATGGAGTCCAGGATAGGGGAGCTCCAGCTCGGAAGCCCAGCCGCAGTCGCAAACTTCGTGGCCGGTGCTCCCCCTCCTGCCGGTGCGCCGGTGCCGCGCCGCTGGGCTGGGGACCCGGCGCGGGTGGGGTGGTGGCGGTGAGGGGGGGGGCGTGTGGGCGCGCACCCCGGCGCAGGGTGGGGCCGGGCGAGCGGCGTGGGTGTGGTCGCTGCAAGGGAATTAACAACGTGGAAAACTGTCACCAGTCAAACACTTGGGAAATCACGGCCTCTGGTGCAGATCACTCTGCCCCGCCGCATTGCTCGGGGGGGGGCCCTCGGAGAAACCTTGCGGGGTGGGGGTGCAGGGAGAGGTGAGGCGATAGAGGCATGTAACCCACATGAGTTTCCTGTTGAGGCAGAACATGTCCGGGTTGTGAGGCTGCGGGGACGGCCAGACCGCTAGAACTGTTGGACGCCGCTCGAGATCACCGCATCTCAGAGAGTTCACCAGACCTTCACCTTCCGGTGCCTACCGCGCATATCTCGGAATAGACTGAATTTCCAAAAGCCACTCACGGTGTCTTCATCCAGTTGCGGGACGAGGGAATGGTTTAGGGATTACAAGGCACTAGAAACTCAGGGGGAGACAGGCTGGCGCTGAAGTGCGGCCGGCTCATGCGTACGCCTGGGCAGCCGGCCCGCGGGGACACCACATACGGGGCTGGCGGCCACGTGCCCGCGGAGCACCGCCCTCCCTTTGTCTCTAGCGCTCGGCGCTGGGCTCCGGCCGGCGACACAAAGGGAGTGGCGTGAGGACCGCGCAGGCGTGAGCGCGAGATGGTGGGAGTGGTGGTCCCGCCGCCGAATTGTAGGTGTCCCGCGCGGCCGGCGTGCCCAGGCCGTAATGCGCATGAGCCACCACTTCCGGGCTGCTCGGCCCGGCTCTGTCTCCGGCCCGGCTGTCTCCACCCCTCCGCAGGACGCGGGTTTCTAGTACTGTATAGTAGTTAAGAGCCCTAGAGGAGTTATTCCACCTCGTCCCGCCTTCTCTTTATCTTGATTGGGCCATTGAGATGAAGACCGCAGTGGACTGGCTCCTGGGGTTGCCAGTCTGTTCCGAGATGTACTTAAATCTCCGCTGCGCGGTAGGCACCGGAGATTTGAGGGTCTGAATGGGAAGAGGGGTTAGGCTCTCTGAGAGTGTTCGGGAGGCGGCGGTCGTGTCGTTCGGTTTGGGCGGGTCTGCTATCACTGTCCGGGGATGAGGGCGCCGGACATGTTCTGCCTCCAAGTACGAAACTCATAGTAAAGTTTGTGCCTCTCCTGTCGCCCTCTCTCCCTGCGACCCCCACCCCCGCAAAAGTGACAGACAAAGCCACACCCCCGCGCGGCCGGGCCGGTGAGGGGCGTGAATGCGGCGGGGGCGGGGCCCGCGGGGAGGGGGCAGTGGGGGGTGGCTGGGCGCATGCGCTGTACGGGGGGCCGAATGTTTCCCAAGTGTTTGAAACTGGTATTTGGGTTTTCCACGTTGGACAAGTGCGGCACGGCGGGCAGCGCGCGCCCCTTCCCGCGCTCGCTCGGCCCAGCCCCGGCCCCTGCGCCGGGGTGCGCGCCCGCACGCCCGCCCGCGCCCGCCCCGCGCCCGAGGCCGCCCGAGCGCGCTGGGAACCCGGCACGCCCGCGCCGGGTCCCCGGGCCCAGGCGGCGCGGCTCGCAGATGTAGCGGCGCGGGGCCGGCAGGAGGGGGGGGGCGCCGGCGGGCGGGAGGTTTGCATTTTGCAGGGCTGGGCTCCGAGGGGGCGGGGGCTGGAGGAAGCGGAAAGCCGCGCCGAGTCGCCGGGGACCTCGGTGAACCATGTTGAGCCCTGCCAACGGGGAGCAGATCCACCTGGTGAACTATGTGGAGGACTACCTGGACTCCATCGAGTCTCTGCCTTTCGACCTGCAGAGAAACGTCTCGCTGATGCGGGAGATCGACGCGAAATACCAAGGTACGGCGGGATGGATGGGCGGGGGCGGCCGCTCCATCCCCGCGGGTCGCGGCTCGCCGCGGGGCCGCGGGCCGTCCTGGTCCCTTCCCGGGGAGCCGTGGGCCCGCGGCGGCGGCCCTGGCCCGGCAGAAACAAAAGGTCTGGAGCGTCTTTGATTCGTCAAGGTCCTTGTATGCGAAGCCGGGACACGGAGGAGGAAGGAGAAAAGAGAGGTCTCAATGCCAGGCTGCGCGAGCAAAGCGCTCTTTGTAGTGAAGTGACGAGGCGGGGTGTTGCGGGGGAGGGGGCTAAGGGGCGCAGGCTACGGCGCGGAAGGAGGGATATGCTGCTTTCGCTAGGTCTGAGGGGCGCAGGGACGGGGCTACGCGCAGGTCTGCTGGGAGGACGCTGCAGGCGAGGGGTCCCCCGGCCCTGCACGCCATCCCCGGAGCCAACATACATCCAGTCCCAAATCTATCTGAGTGTTATATAAAGTCCAGGGTCGGTACTATGTGCGGTGTAGCCCTAGTCGCCCCCCGCCCAGCCCCCCGGCTCTCCCGCGGCTCTGGACACCGAGTCAGGGGCTACGCGGCCGGGTGTAGTTTGCGGAGGGCCTGGGCTTTATTCCGTGCGTACGGTGGGGAGGGGAAGAGAGGGGAGGATGTGGCGAAGAAGTCTCCCATCTGTGTTGCGTTCGGGGGGCGCGTGCAAAGACCATGGGCTTGGAGAGGAACATGGCAGGGAGAGGACCTGTGGGTCGTTGTCTGCAGCCCCAGCCGCCCAGAGTCCCGGAGAGAAACGGAGGGTACATGTCCGCTGGGAATTGTTGGCTGTTGGGGAAACTTTCCTGCCAGGTCAGGCACGGCATTGGGGGCTCTGTTTGGAACGTAGGTCGTCACTCGGAGTTTACTAATGTTTACAAGGCTGCGCAAGCAGGGAAACAGGAGAGTGGGGGGGGAGGTGGAAAGCCACAGCTTTCCGTGAAGCGCAGATAACCCCTTTCGGCGAGGCGCCCCTGCGCGCTCTACCAGAGACTCGCTTTCGCAGCGTTATTTATAAGAGGCTTATTAGCATATTGCGAACCTCCCGCTTTAGTCTTCTTATGATTGGCTGTGGTATCCCCATGGAATGTCCTTATCAGTCCGCTGCTGAGGCATTGGTTGCTGGGCCGGATGAGGGCGGGCCTTGCGCTGTGACTGGCACGGGTCTCTGTTTCCGCGGCCTTCTTTTTTTCTCTTTCGTAGAGGGGCGGGGAGGAGGGAGGAGGTCGAGTTGATTTGAATGTCTTCGGGTCGCCCGGCTTCTGGCCTTGGATTGGCTGTTGACGCTGCGGGGTGGGCCGTGTTCCCCTGTCCTGCTCTGTGATTGGTTCTCCTTGTGGCCTCCGCCCTCCGGCCTGGCGACCCCCATAGGCTGCGGTTCCCTGGGCGGGGCGTGTTGCCTACTGGCCTCCTCCCCATTGGCGAGGTTCCAGGCCCCGCCCCCTATCCTCAGGGACCTGAGCCCGGCCACTTCCGGCCGCGGAGCAATGGCTGTGTCCCGGAGTCGGAGGGGAGGTTTGTTAGCCTCTTCTGCTGGCCCTGCGGAGGACTCAGCTCAGGCCTCCCTCCCTTGTCCCAGGGAACCACGGGGCCGGCCAGCGGCTGTGAGGAGCGAGGGAAGTGTGAGTGACCCGTGTCCGGGGGCTCTTCTTGGTGGTCCGCGCCCAGGATGTCTCGGATAGTGTAGTGATTAAAGATTAGGGGTGTTTAAAGGATTCCCAGCCTTTGTAGAATTTGTGGTACTGTTAATTAGCATTTTCCTAGATGACAACAAAAAAAGTGTAGCTTTAGAATTTTCTAACATTCACACCAGTATACCCCTCAAAGTTCCTTCTTTTATTGCTCTTTCGCTGTTCAGTTAATAGACAGTGTGGTGCTTATTTGGTTCCTGTGGAGCACATACTGAAGCCAGTGCTGTTGAGTGAGCTGTAAAGCTTAATCATTTGTCATAATAGTCATAACTTATTTGGCTGGGACTTACTATAAATGTTGAGATATGCAGCATAGTTTTAAAAAATTAAGTTTTTACTTTTAAGTAACTATGTTGCAAGTCAGACTTGGTTGACAATTTTTATTGCTTAGTATGCATCAATTGGAGATTAATTCATAATGATGGATTATAATTTAACCAATTTTAAATGTATTTGATGTTATTTTTAAATTATTTTTCTTGTGTTATTTTTTAAATACCCACTCACCTATCCACTGTGGAAGTCGGCTTTATAAAAAACTTAAGTGCAAACCTATGTAAAATTAAAGTACATTATGCATCATTGGAAAGATTAAATTTTGCTGCAGTCTCTTTTAATCCTTAAATTTTCCCCAATGGCATCATTGCTTTCCTACAGTAATTCTGCTATGGAGCATTTTTAGAGGAAAGGGTCAGCAGCAGTTTGAGCTGATGGGGCTTAAGAAGTGAGTGTCCTGGCAAGATGCCTCTCTAGTTAGCACTGGTGTTCCTTTTTACAGGCATTTGTATTTAAAGTGGCTTTGTTAATACTTCGCTTGGGGCATCCATGAAGTATATGCCATTATGAAGGTCACAGAATTACTTCTTGCTAATTTTGTGATATGTGTTTCTTTCCCACAAATGAGATGTCACGTGGGTATAAGCTTGCTTGTGATATAAAAGAAGCCATATTTAGCCATATGATAGAATTAAATGAGCCGTATGATGGTACCATCTCTGGTCAGGGCACATATAAGAAGCAACCAGTGGGCACATACAAGAAGCACAAATAAGTGGAACAACAAATTGATGTGTTGAGTCTCTCTCACTCTCTTAAATAAATTTTTAAAATAAACATTATTAAGCATTTCTAAATGTCATTACTTGGGTTTAAAAAAATGGCAGAAATTTATTTTAACATCTATGAAATAGAACTTGGGTTGAGCACAACTATTTATTTTCAGAATTAATTCCGCTAAGATTCTGTGGGACTGTGGCACCTTGGCACTTCTTTCTGGTGGGAAACTCTACATTGTTCTTGCAGGAAGTATCCTGAGAACTATCTTTAGTTTAAGAATGTAGCCTGGAAACTAATACTTACCATTCAGCTAAGCTCCAGTGTTGGCCTAAGTTCATATGTTTACTTTAGTTTTAGATTTATGCCTTATAACTATTGGGAGATAAGATCTGGGTAATAGCCACATTTTATGCATTTTCTCCCTAAATCCCCACACCTAACTGACTAGTTGGAGGGTAGAATTGCCTTATTTTGAGAGACTGCAAAAGGTGTACAGAAGTCTGATACTATTTCATGGTTTGTGGGAAATAACGCTAGAAATTTCTACCTGTGTATTTAAGCTTTTAACAAGAATGTTTACTTTCCTTATCTGTTTGTTTTTTTTTACAGCTTTTATTTCTTGAGAAATTGCCCAATTACATTTGCAAAAGTACATTTTATTTTTTTTTATTTTTTATTTTTTTTATTTACTTTTTAAATACATTTGTCTCTGCCTCCCCCCCACCTCTTTCCCTTGCCCCCTCCCACCTTCCCTCCCTCAGCTCTTCCCCTTTGGTTTTGTCCATGAGTCCTTGCTATATGTTCCTTGACTTTCCCCTTCCCTTCCCTTTCCCTGCCCCCCCCTTTTCTCTTGTCTCTGTTGATTTCTTTTCCTGCAAAAGTACATTTTAAATTCACATACATTGCCTTACTACCCCTGAAGGGTTAAATTTAGTATTGAGTGTTTCTAATTTATTTTTGATAATGGTTTACAATCTGTAGATATAAATGTTATTGTTTTGAGCAGTAAGTGCAAAAAGCAAAATCTGCCACCTTTGTTTTAAAGCAAGGCTAGGTTGTATGGCTTATTGTGACAAACCTTTCTTGTTTTCAGTAATACAGAGGAATAACATGCTAGAATGAAAACGATGTGACTGATAAATTGAGGCTCTGGGTCATAAGTAATATTTATATACAGTCTATAACTTAATAAGGTATTGTGGACATCAGTACATTAGAATAAAAAGAGTAAGGGCCTTTAAATTATTAGGAAAATATTTGAATAAAAACCATGGAAATATAGGACATCATTAATTTTATTGAAAATAAAAATTTGGGACCCAGTGTTTCACCTGAATTTGATCTTTTCTCCTAATTGTCCATCCCAGAAGTATTACTCACACTTCTGAATGTACACATAATCCTTTGGGGAGCTTTCAGTAGCACTTTGCTAAATGAGAACTGTGTTGGCATTTGTTTCTAGTTCCAGGGATTTTTTCCTACAGGAAAAAAAAGTCTGTTAGGAGGGCATACAAGATTTAAGCTTTTTCATGCTAGGAAACCTTGCATTGATCAGTTCTGTCCTTTGCAATTACTTTTTCATAGACTAGAGAATTAAATAAAAGGCTCGATAGTGTTTTATTTATAGCGTGGGTGTAATGCTCATTTTTCCCTTTGCAGAAATCCTGAAGGAACTGGATGAGTATTATGAGAAGTTTAAACGGGAGACAGATGGCACTCAGAAGAGGAGAGTATTGCACTGCATTCAGAGAGCCCTGATTCGGAGCCAGGAGCTGGGCGACGAGAAGATTCAGATTGTGAGTCAGATGGTAGAGCTGGTGGAGAACCGGACCAGGCAGGTAGACAGTCATGTGGAACTCTTTGAGGCACACCAAGAGGTCAATGACACCACTGGACACAGTGGCAAAGCTGGCCAGGATAAGTCTAAGAATGAGACAATCACACAGGCAGAAAAGCCCAATAACAAGAGGTCTCGGCGACAGCGCAACAACGAGAATCGGGAGAATGCAGCCAATAATCATGACCACGATGACATCACCTCAGGAACGCCTAAGGAGAAGAAAGCAAAGGCCTCCAAGAAGAAGAAACGGTCCAAGGCCAAAGCAGAGAGGGAAGCATCCCCTGCAGACCTCCCCATCGACCCAAACGAGCCCACGTACTGTCTGTGCAATCAGGTCTCCTATGGAGAAATGATCGGCTGTGACAACGATGAGTGCACCATTGAGTGGTTCCACTTCTCCTGTGTAGGACTGAATCATAAACCAAAGGGCAAGTGGTACTGTCCCAAATGTCGAGGGGAGAATGAGAAAACCATGGACAAAGCCCTGGAGAAATCCAAAAAGGAGAGGGCTTATAACAGGTAGTTGGTGGACCTTGCTCAACAGTGAGGAGGACTAAGTCAGTGTATTTATTACATTGCCACCTTTGGTGAGGTGCAAGGACTGTACAATGTATATTTTTAAAGAATGTTAGAAAAGGAGCCATTCCTTTTGTAGGGATGGCAGTGATTCTCTTTGCCTTTTGTTTTCATTGGTACACTTGTGTAACAAGAAAGTGGTCTGTGGATCAGCATTTTAGAAACTACAAATATAGGTTTGAATTAAACACTCAAGTGAGTCTCTGACTGATTTTTTGGGGGGCGGGGGGATCTGGAGAGTTGACCTGGAAGCATCCTAACACATTAAGTATGGAAAGAAAAGATTCATTTAGCTACTGTTTTATTTTAATAAAAATAATGTTATTTCATGAACAATTTTTTAAAAATTAGCCAACCAAGTTGCTAAATCTTCTCCTATAATAATGTATATCCATATAACAATTCAATAAAATGATTTAAAGTTTGAAGATTATTTTTGAAAAAGGTAAATAGTTAAATTTTACATGACAAACATTTTATATACCTATTCCCCAAATGACCATTTTAAGTGATTGGGTACATTTTTTTAATAATGAAACAGAAGTAGTCTAGTCATGGAACTTCAAATCATGCTTTTGCTATCACACATCTTAGTGTAGTATATTTAATTTATATCAAGTGTATCAATGTACATTTCCAAGTGAACTTGCACTTGTTGTATTATAATCAGAAATGCTGCCAGATGCCATTGTGAAACCAAGGTGTGTTTCCTGGTGTGTAGATGTGACATCAAGAAATAAATGACACTTAGCCAATTCTAGCAGTATATTTAATTTCGACATAAGTGATATTTTAAATTTTTGTCTTCTAAATATGTATACCAGCAGTTCAGACAAAGCCTTAAGCAAAATTTTGTATTATTATTCTCAGTAACAAAGCAGAAGTTACCTAATTGCCAACAAGTAAATATCAAAACAATATATATTTAGAACAGGGGTTGGAAAATTACTGCCCACAGGCCAAATCCAGCCCTCCACCTGTTTTTGTATGGCATGTGAGCCAAGAATTATCTTTACATGGTTAAAATGAAAAGAATCCTATTTTGTGACACATGAAAATTATATGGAATTCAAGTTTTAGTGTCCATAAATAAAGTTTTATTGCTGCAGTCATGCTCATTCGCTATTTTTGTATAATGGCGGAGTTGAGTTGTTGCGACAGAGACTCTCTGACCCACAAAGCTGAAATTATTTATTTTTTGATCCTAAGTTTGCTGACCTGATTTAGACTAACCTCTTGCATGACAATATGTGTCCTTAACTGCCTGCATATTGAAAGGGTCAATGGAATTTCTCTTTCTAAGGGATATCTGATTCACTTCAACCATGTATTGCAGTGTTAATTTCTCTCCATAGTTTGTTTTACATCCTCTATGAAGCTGCTACAAGGAAGAGTTGAGTAACCACTGTAGCATCTAAGGATCTGTGTGGCATTTACTGTAAGTAAAATAAGGTGTTTTTTTTTTTGGTTGTTTACTTCATTTGATAAACAATATTGAGAACTTTATTTGTGCCAGACTTAATTAAGTCTTTCCAGTATAGGAGGCTATTTGGTAGAGAAATGTAAATTATACTCGATCACATACATTAAAATGTGAACTTCTTGCATATAAATGCCTACAAATAGGCATTTACTTTCCAACAAAACTCCAAAACATTTGAGAATCTTGAGTGTTGAAATTTGGTAAGATTTACCTAGACAAACAACAAACAAAAAGTTTACTACATGAAATAAGTTTAAAATATTTGATAATAATTAATGACAAAAGTTTAAAAGAATCTTTGTTTACATAAAATTCTATTTAGTTTTTTATTTCTATTTTAATTAGAGCTAATAATGAAAATTAAGTTATGGGAGTAAAGATGAAATAGAACACAGTTGCTAATCCCAGATTTCTTTATATTTATTCAGTGGTGTTGTAGACATCTATAATGGAGAAAGAAGCACAGATGCCAAACCTTGCTGTATCTGAATACACCTTTGTCTCTTAGGGGTTTGATCTTCAATAAATTTGCTCACTTCTTGATCCATGGTTTTTCACTTTTTTTAAAAAAATATTTTATGTATTTGTTTTTAGGGAGAGGGGAACATAGGGAGAAAGAGGGAGAGAAACAAATGTGTGGTTGCCTCTAGCAAGCCCTCTACTAGGGACCTGGCCTGCAACCCTTTGCTTCACAGGCTGGCACTTAACCCATTGAGCCACACCAGGCAGGGTGGTTTTTCACTTTTAAGACACGTATTTCATCATGTAGGGTGGTTCTGAGAAATAAGTGAGTGGCACTGGAGTGATGTTAAGCAAATGCTGGATATTTTTTCCCTACCTTTAGTGAAGTTTCCAGTAAGGACTACTGGTTAGGAATTTTTTTCTTTGAAAAATGTGGAACATTATAGAGGCAGAGTTTGTTGGATTTGGCCGTCTTAAATTACTTTCAGTTACTTTGGACAGTAAAAACGACAGATAAGTACTTGGTACATCAAGATTCAGGCTTTAAATCATGATTAAATACTATTGAAGGGTCCTAATAACCCTGGGGGAGTGCTGAAAATGGGATTGAATTCTTTTTGAAAATAGATTAGTTAAAAGCTATCAAATGTAGAATACTTATTTTTTTTAATTGAAGTATAACATTTTATTTCAGGTGTACAACATAATTGATATTGTGTATATTTTGAAATGTTCAGAAGGAGAGTTAATATTCATATTTAGTTACAAAATTTTTTTTAAATTTTGTGATGAGGACTTTAAAGATTTACTCTTAGCAAGTATCAGAAATGCACTACCTTTTATTAACTGTAATCACTATATCCCCATGACTTACTTATAACTGGAAGTTTGTACCTATCTTATGACCTTCACTCATTTTGCCCAGCCTCATCCTTGCCTTTGGCAAACACCAGTTCCTTATATTTAATAACCAAGTTATTACAATTCAGATAGAGTCTAAAATGTTTCTGTTAGAATGGAATACTTTATTTAAAATAGACTAAGGAAATTTGGTTCATTCAGTTCACTAGTGTGTATCGAGTAGCCACAGCTGACATTCCTGGGGCAGCGGGTGCAGAGGAGACTGCACTCTGGATCCTGAGAAGGAATACTGCCTGCAGTAGCAGCACCCGTGCGCCACCCAGAGACACATCATCCAGTCACTTGGACGTTGTGGTGTGGTTGTCTCAGTAACTGGGACTATCAGTGGTTTCAAATTCTGAAGTATTAAAGCATTTATCAAGGTAAAAACCATTTTATTATTACTAATATACTTATTTTAGCAAGACTAGGTATTTACTCGAAATAACCTTTTTTATCGTTCATACAGTGTTCCAGGTAAAATGTATTAAGATATTAAACCTTTTCATTAGGCAAAATTATTAACTTTTCATCGATGCACTTTTAAAGACAATGTGCTTTCGCAGGGGATCTAACTTTTCTCCATTGTTCAAGCTGAAGTAATTGATGAATCTTTGTAATCATTGGCATGTATAGGAGAAGATTTTAGGATATTGTTTGTTTCCCTCTAGGTTTTAGCTTGTTATCCATTCATTTTAATTTTGGGATCCAGGTGGTGGTAGGTGGTTTGGGAGATAGACTTTTGGGTTTGTTTAATCTGGAGAAATTGCAGGTTAATTACTGCTTGCATTCATGCCTCATCACCCTCATGCTACATGTGTGGAGGGCTCTGGAAGGTAACCGAGAAAGGTGTGTTGTAGATCAAGCTAGCCTTTGAGGTTTCTATGAGGGACTTTGTTTTAGAAGGCTTATTTTAACTGTTCAGTTGCTTTCCTCACAAACCAAACGTTAGTGTGCATTAGTGTCTTGCCTCAAAATTTTGTATTACCTGATTTTGTTCTTAAGATGGGATTGATACTTTCTCACTTAAAATCTGTTTTCAAAGAAATTGCTGCAAAGAGTAACAGGTTTTTTTTTTTTAAATTTTCACCTGAGGACATGCTTACTGATTTTTCGAGGGGAGGGGAGGGGAGGGAGAGACATCAACCAGTTGTCTCTCTTACACACCCCAACCAGACTCGACCAAACTGAACCAGCAACCTAGGCATGTGGCCTGACTATGACCTTTCCGTTTATGGGGAGGATGTTCCAACCAACTGAGCCGCAACAGCCAGGGCCACAGGTTAAATCTTGATTTGTACCATTCAATCCTCTGTTAAACCAGAGTTTTTCTATTAAACAAGAAAATGCTTTCGGTCCTGGCCGGTGTGCCAGGGTTGGAGCATTGTCCAGTAACCAAAAGATTGTGGGTTTGATACCTGGTCAGGGCACGTACCTAGGTCGCAGGTTGGTACCCCAGTCCCCAGTCCGGATCTGGGCATGTGATCTCAAGCCTGTATGAGAGGCAGCCAGTCAGTGCTTCCCTTTTGCATTGATGTTTCTTTCCCTCTCTCCTTTCCTCTTTCTGTGAAAGCAAAAAAGAAGTGTCCTCAGGTGAGGATTAAAAAAAACCTTTTTTTTTTAAAGAAAGGGAAATGCTATAGTTTAAGCAAGTCAGCTTGGAAGTTTTTCAGCCTTGCTGACATAAAGAAATAACAGGCACCATTAATTGTCTGCCATGTGCTAGTGCCATGGTAGACTCTTTCTATACTTTGTTAGCTCTTTAAAACAACCCTTTCATGACGATGTTAGTGTTTCTGGTGAGGATGCTAAGGCCCAGGTGAGGAAACCTGATTCATACAAGGCCACCCATCCCAAGCTTGGCTGCAAACCCTGTATCCTCTTACCACTGTGGTACACCAGGAGGCCTGCCAGTGCCCAGAGCCCGGCACAGTTGTCTGATGGTAATTGATGCCAGGAGCAGAGCTAAGTGTTTACAGTGATCCTGTCTTTCCTTACTGCCCTGTGTGGTAGGGAATTACCCTCGGTTATGGCAAAAACTGAAGAAAAATAAACTTGTAGAGTAGGGGCGAATCAGCCTCAAGTCTTCTTTGTTGCTGGACATTTTACCTGAATGAAAGACCTGTGCTACCAGGTGTAGCATATGCATCTCCTTCTCCAGGGGAACCAGTGCAATGCCATAGCATGCTTTTTTTTGTCTTGCCCTGTAGTAAATTCCAGGATTGTATTTATACCCAGAAGGTTTTAAGCAATTTACCAGAAGTAGAGTGTTGTCCTAGAATTAGCGTGAGATACGAAGTCAGAAGGTTTGAATTAGGGCTAGTTTACCACCCGCAGTCTAACCTCAGGAAGTCACTCAGCTGCGTGTCCTTATAGGA